TACACGTGGGGTGGGGTGGGGTGGCATGACAGTGACCGGAATTCCCAAGTGCTGGCCCCCTTAGGTGCAATGCCCTCAGCTATCTGCTTCGGAGCATCGGGCGGCCTGTGGTATTTTCTGTTGTCTTCTTTTTTCTCAAAATAAACTAGATTAAGATTTTGGTTAGTTCAGTGGTGATTACGTGGTTATTTGCCAGTGGGGCGGAGCGGGCGGGAGTGGCTCGTAAAGATGGCGGCTTGTTTGGTGGGCTCTTTCTGAGGCTCTTTAGAATTGGCGGTTGCCTCTTCTATTCTGCTTTTTCTTTGGCGCCCGAAGTTGGTCTAGGGCTGAGTTTAACTCGTCACAGAATCGGTCAACTTTCTTGCTCTTTTCAAGCAGTTCAGGTGTTTCGCCTTCATCTCCGTATTCCTCGAATGAGTAGCCGACAACGTAACGTTCGATGTCGTCGAAATACTCCAGCGTGTAGTCTTCAACCCTCGCTTTAAGGTCGTCGAAGCTAGTTATTTTGGCTGCTGCTGTTTGGCTCACGCGTGGGGTGGCTGGCTGTCTGATGGGTGTTTCGCTTCGTTCTTCGATTGTCGTGGCATCTGTCATCTGTGCCTGGTGTTGCATCATTAAAGTTTCGGTAACTGTGCTTTTGTCGGCTTTGTTGATTATTGGCTGCTTTACAACTTTTCTGGAAGCCTCTCTTTCTTTCTCTAGCAGGGCACGCTCCGTTCTTGCCGCCAGCACTGCTGCTTCGGCCCCTGCCTTTGCTTGTATCATGAGGGCGACTTCTTTATAAGTGCTTTCTCGGGCTTCCTTAAGTGCTTCGGTTTCCTTTCTTCTCTATTCCCTTTCTTCTTGTCGGCGGGTCTCGTATGCAGCTTTTTTCTGCTTGTAATTTTAGTGTCATTTCTGTCAGATTTTTCGGCATTTGTGCAGCCTCTGCTAGCCACTTTGTTTGCTTCGAGACTTGTTCTTGTCTGTCGTCTTTCAAGGCTTCTGATTTCGTCACGCATCTGCGAAATCATGTCTAGCAACTGGATTCTGTCAGCGTCGGTGTTGGTGGCGTCAGATTTTTCTTTGCGGAGAGCTCTGATTTCAGCTAAAATTTCGGAAATTTGTAGCGAGATTTCAGGGTCCTTTGCGGCTGTGATCGCCTAGTCGGTTAGTCTGTTTGATGTCCGTTGTGCTGGCTTCCCACTTGGTTGCTTTGGTGCTGCTGAATACCTGGGTGCCACGTATCTCTGTCTAGCTGCTTCGCGGGTGGTTCTTAGTGTCCTCTTGCACTGCTGGAGATACGGGCAGCCCATGTATCTCGCGCCGTGAGCACCGGAGCAGTTGGAGCACTTGCGGTTGCTGTTCGGTTTTTTTAAAATTAGTGTCAATTTTAGCGAGCGGGCACTCCTTGAATTCGTGCGCACCAGAACAGTATCTGCACGAAAGGTTGCTGCGGCAGGACGAAGCTGTATGCCACGCCCTATTGCAGCGCGAGCACTGCATGATGTCTGGTGTGCTGGTCTCAGGCTGCCGCTGCTTTCGTTGGCGAGGGGGTCATTGCGTCGCTACCGAGGCGGCATCAGGCACTCCTGAAGGGTCGGCTCCCGGGGGAGCGACCCTCTGTGTTGGTGATCCTGGTGTTTCAATCGTAATGGGCGCAGTGTCCATTTTCTACGGTAATTATAAAAGTTCTCGAATTTATTTAGAGGTTAAACGCACGCACTAGGTTTCGGTTTAAAAAGTTTATAATGTAAATTATAATTACCTAGGGCGTTGTTTCTTCCTCTGTTGATTCTTGAATACACCGGTGTAGATCTGTGTTGCTGGTAGTTGTCGTTGGCTAGGTGCGAACACGGGCTGCTAATGACCCACCCGCAGCCGACTCCGATAGTTTAGTCGAGACAGACTCAGCTGAATATCAAGCGAATCTGTCCAGTAGCTAGCTATCGAAAATCAGGCAACGAATGGATAGTTAGCGGGCAACGTGATCAGGCGAGGCGGGCTTGGGCGTTCAACGTCTTGCTCGAGCGAAAGCGGTCAGTGAACTGGGGAGTGCCACGCCTGTGTCTTGTGATCTTTTATAGCTTCCAGCTCTCAGTGCCACGCCGGTGACTTGTGATCTTGTATGGCTTCCAGCTCTCAGTGCCACGCCTGTGACTTGTGATCTTGTATAGCTTCCACCTGTCAGTGCCACGCCTGTGACTTGTGATCTTGTATGGCTTCCAGCTCTCAGTGCCACGCCTGTGACTTGTGATCTTGTATGGCTTCCAGCTCTCAGTGCCACGCCTGTGACTTGTGATCTTGTATGGCTTCCAGCTCTCAGTGCCACGCCTGTGACTTGTGATCTTGTATGGCTTCCAGCTCTCAGTGCCACACCTGTGACTTGTGATCTTGTATGGCTTCCAGCTCTCAGTGCCACGGCTGTGACTTGTGATCTTGTATGGCTTCCAGCTCTCAGTGCCACGGCTGTGACTTGTGATCTTGTATGGCTTCCAGCTCTCAGTGCCACGCCTGTGACTTCTGTGCGCGGCACATTCTCCAGTCTGTCCAGAACTCTACCCTCTCAAGTAATTTTTGTTGTTGTTGATGTTTTTGTTATTGTTGTTGTTGATGGTTGTGGTTCTTTCAGATCTCACTCTCCGACACTCACATCTACATACAGCTTTATTTAACTTTTATTTATTTCTACCATGGCCTTTCTCCTTCGTGTTAAGGGGCCTTTAGATTGAAGATTGCGTGATGGTTCGTATCCCTGTGTCATTCAGATGAGATACATACTCATACAATCAAAAGCTTATTTTGTTTGTGTCTCTAATATGTGCAAGGAGCATTCTAATGTCTTCTCTCTTTGATATACTAACCATTAAGTGTTGCCCTCCTGGAGTTATAAATTTATGTCGCTAAGAAGCAAAAGAACGAGGAGTACAAGGATAAGGAAAGTAAAAAAAAAACGAAGAAGAAAAAGAGGAAGAAGAAGAGGAAGAGGAAGAAGAAAAGGAAGAAGAAGAAGAGGAGGAAGAAGAAGAGGAAGAAGAAGAGGAAGAAGAAGAAGAAGAAGAAGAAGAAGAAGAAGAAGAAGAAGAAGAAGAAGAAGAAGAAGAAGAAGAAGAAGAAGAAGAAGAAGAAGAAGAAGAAGAAGAAGAAGAAGAAGAAGAAGAAGAAGAAGAAGAAGAAGAAGAAGAAGAAGAAGAAGAAGAAGAAGAAGAAGAAGAAGAAGAAATACCAAAAAAGAGCAAAAAGAAAAAGAACAAGAACAAAACCAAGATTTAGAAGAAAGAGAAGGAGGAGGATGCGGAGGAGGTGGTGGTGTAAAAGAGAAATCTGGAGCATAAGAATGTAAAGTACTATAAACCACACTGACAATGTCACTGACAGATTCCATCAACTTAATGTCAATAATGACTCCAGTCACACCCTTGTCTATATGCCAGATTTCTTCGTCTACTACACGGGAGAAACACGACTGTCGTTTCGAACCACGCCCACCTATTTTCTGACCATCACCTGCAGGGACTCAACCAACACAGAGTTCAACGAAACACTCCTAGAGATAGATGTGCAACAGAACCAGGCACCTAGGATCACTAACCCCAAATATCCAGATGGTAAGTATCTGTCATCTTTCTCCGGTGGCAGCCCAGGAGTTCTTCAGACGTAAAGATATATTTAATGCCGGAACGTCGAAATCTGTTGGCTCTGGCAACTTCCCTTTCCATGGCAACTTTACATGGCTGGGGTTGAGGAGGGTGGAGGGGGGGGGGGGGGGGCTTTTTCATACCTTCCTCAGGAAAAATTGTCAGTGAGATAAGTGGGTCCATGGCGATATGTAGTAGCTCTTATCTTTGTTTTTGTTATAGGTTTCATTATATATATATATATATATATATATATATATATATATATATATATATATATATATATATATATGTGTGTGTGTGTGTGTGTGTGTGTGTGTGTGTGTGTGTGTGAAATTCAGCACACAACCCAAATATAATAATAACAGTAATTGTTATCCATGCAAATGTAAACAATGGTGAGCGCGGCGTCATTCCCCCCAGTCCAGTGTTTCCCTGATATCGGTTCAATGAGCGCATGTGTTTGTGTTCCAGAATTGCCATTACAGTCTGTCAGACTCTTCATTTCCGGTAGGCTGACACAGAACACATGTGGATCTACACACATGAGCACACATAAGTATATAGTAATGAGAGAGCTAACCAGCTTGCCAGTAATGCACCAATGCAAACGGGAAGAAGTATGGACACAGCTGAAATCATCAACGCTGTGCAATCTGAAAAGTTCCACTTCCAAAGTTCACTCTAACTTATCCTGTATATACACGATACTACTGATTAAACTTATCTTCTATAAACAGGATAATGTTTACTGAACTAATCCTCTGTGTCTGCACGAAACTGATAACCAAACCTATCCTGTATATTTGGACGATACTGTTGATACAACTTTTCCTTTAAAAACACGATACTGTTGATAAAACTTATCTTCTATATACATGATACTGTTGACTAAACGTATCCCATGTATACTCGATACTGTTGTTATACTCTATGTTATTAAAATTATTGACAAAATTTCTCATATATATATATATATATATATATATATATATATATATATATATATATATATACATATATATATATTAGATACTGTTGACTAGGTGTATCCTTTATATGCAGGATAATGTTGATTAACTTGTCCTCTATATACATATTAATATTGACTAAACTCCTCTTCTATATACATGATTATGTTGACTAAACTTTTGTGATATGTACATTATCCTGTTGACTAGACGTGTGCTCTATGTACATGATAATGTTGACTAAACGTGTCCTCGATGTACATGATACTGTTAACTAAAATTGCCTTCATTTACATGATGCTGTTGATTAAACTTGTCCTCCTGTATATGATAATGTTGACTAACCCTGTCATAAAACCCTGACACAGATGCCAGAACCCTGGACACACAGAAGCCGGTGCCCGCCAACACT